CTTCCTCTTTTCTTATAAAATAAAAGTAAAACAATAATAACGTAATAAAGAAAAAAACGAAGAAACCAAAGTAACAGAACTATCGTGAATGTTAATTTCTTTTCTATCTTTTCTCGGCCATTCTTTCTCCTTTATTTACATTTTCCATGTCCTTTCGTTTTACTCCCGCCAATAGCCCTTGTCCGTTCCTAACTTAGATATCTTCTCGATCATTATTTTCTTTAAGGTCGCGTATTCCTTATTCTTTAACTCCTCAATCAATATCGGGTATTTTTTAACATCTGCCTTCATCTCTCTTACTCCCTCCTTGCGGTAAAGCTCCACTTTTTCCCTCCATTTTGCAAGAATTCAGAGAATTTAGTATTTAGAGCTTATTCCAGCTTACAGGGTGTTCCAGAACTAGTATTAGGTCTGCAAATGGGGAAGAGCTGAGGTGATTTGAAGCAACTTTTTCCTTTGCAAAAAAGTTGTCCAAAGCGTGGTTGTTAAGTTATTAACGAAAAACCGGGACCAATCAAAGCGCTCGTATAGCGGACGCACGCTCGTGACGAAACGTAGGATTAAAACAAAAGTTACATATAAGAGCAACTAAAAAATTGTTTAAATATTACAGAAAACAAAGCAATTAGCCGTTAGTTACGTTCGCTCAATAAATGTAATATACTCAATGAAATAACTAACAATTTTATGAATTACAGAGTAGCTAATATTATAAAAAATGGGTAGAGAATTAGAATTGAACTTAATCGTTCGTCTTTAAGTTCACCTGCTCCAAGAAGAATGTTACTGGGTCAATGTGCCGAACCCTGGTACTTGAAGATAAAACACATGGGCAGCAGTGACGTTTAGAGCAGGTCACTGACAAACATGGCCTTGTGTTTTACGTTTGAATGATAGGCTTCGGCACATTGACTCACTGAGGCGTCTAGCTAGGAGCAGGTGCACTTAAAGACGAACGACTAATTGTAAGTTCAACTCTAATTCTTTCCCATTTTTTATGCTTTACCTACTGTGTAATTTATAAAGTTGTTAGTTATTTGATTGAATATGTTGCATTTATTCAGTGAACATAACTAACGACTAATTGCTCTCTTTTCTCTGATATTTAATCAATTTCTTATTTGCTCATGCAAGTTTTATTTTAATCCTACATTCTCGTCACGAGCGTGGCATACAGTCGCAGCAACGCACGAGGCGGTTATCGCGCTCCTGCCCACCTTGTATATGAGCGCTCTGACTGGTCGATGATTTTTTTTAATAACTCAACAACCACGCCTCGGACAACTTTTTTGCAAAGGAAAAAGTTGTTTAAAATCACCTTAGCTCCTCCCCATTTGAGGGCCTAACACTAGTTCTGGGACACCGTGTATTCTCTATTCCCTTTGTCTTCTCCTCTATTAGTTGCTCTTTCGTTTCTTTGAGTACATTCCTCTGCTCCTACATGTCTCAAAGTTTCTTCTGTCTCTCCACATATTCTGTACATACATTTTACCTTTGAACTCTCTATATCTATCCCTCTTTGATTTAATTTCCGCATCCCACTTATTAAAATCCTCTTTCTTTTGATCTTTCTTACTGCACAATTAAGAATGTTTACTTGATCACATTACACTTTTTGTAAAATAAGTGAATTATTTTTTAAACTTAATTATTTTTGCATAATATGTAACAAAGAGCGCAAACTTTGTGTATATCAAACACTAAGTCTATCAAGCTTAATCTGACTTATTGAATTCTGAACTTCTTCTTAAGTTAGTCTACTCTATTAGTGTCTAGTGTCTCATACTTCGAACGTTATAATCAAGTAAAATTATCTTAGTGA